GGAGAGGTTTATCAGTGCTGAGACACGAGTCCTTGATAATTTTTCTTTAACGAAAGGAGTTGAGGAGGGGGGAGAGGTGTCGTAGCTTATCAAAGATTGGTGAGAAATCCTGATGAAGAGAATCGGAACAGGTTAACAGTAGGGAATATTTCTTCATGCAAATCACAAAATGAAAGGATATGTGAAGAAGTTGTCTTCTTAAAGTTGCATCTCAAAGAAATGTTAGGAGGGAGGGACAATGAGTTATAGGTACCAGTGACACTTGTTTGTTTTCATAAATAATCAGTTCGACCATCTTCATTTATCAGAAACAAAAAAATCGCCTATGTTGTTATTAGATACCTTTTCTGGACCTTGCTCAGTTTACTGGCCAAACATACAATGACAATGGACTGGACGAAAAAAAAGAAGCAGACTGCTATGACACCAGCGATGATAACTGAAATGGGATAATAACAATCAGTTTCCTTTCAATGTCGAAATAGCAAAACTTTATGGAACACTAAAGCAGATGTATGGCCCCCTCGCCATCTTAAAACAATGCGATACCGGTGCAGCGCCCTACCAACGTTAACTGAGCTAACAAGCCAACTGGGAGCCGGTCATTTTGAAGGTTCGTAATGAACCCATGAAGAGATGAATAAATGACTGAATATATGAAAATCGTATATGTAAACTTTTTACTTTGTCACTGCTTAACTCCTCCATCAGTATGAAATAATAAGCAAAATTTTAGGCCTACAATAAAACAGAATAATTCAAATAACGTGTTTACTTCAGTCATCTATAGATCTGAAACCCACCATGCAATTGTTAATGCGATTTTTATCGCACTGAGCAGACTCTCGCTGAGCATGCTCTATTAACAAAGTACACCACTAGGGTATGGTTGTGTTTACGATTTGTGGGAAAAATGCCTGCAAGTAATCGATAGAAGTACATCATACAATGGTAACTGACTTACGTATTTCGTGTAGTCTGTTACAGCATATTAACGAATCGGTGCAGTCTGCTGCGCCTGAAAGAAACGCATATATATATTTTGATTCGACATGACTCTGCGTAATGCAACATTATCAATAAGTATGTGTTAAGAAAATATAACTCAGTTGAGTTTCTAATCACCAGTAATGTTCTTAAAAGTTATCAAGCAAATTTTGTAGGCATACTGCAGACTAGATTCTTGGAAGCTACTGCGTCACATTTTAGCTCGACTTTAAGATTCATTAATTTCTTTATCGCACCAATTGTTTTATATCAGTGTTGTTGGATGCCAATTTCTGGCGAGGTTTTGGACCAAAACTCGATCCCGGAGGGATGTAAATTCAGAGCAACATCGCATGTTGAACGTCTAGGAGTGGTGATGTTTAACTATTTACGATTCGCATAGCCTTTCGTAGAGAAACAAATCACTGATCTCAACATTTTCGAAACTGTAAAGGAAATTCCTAAACAACAGCCTGATATGAATGGCGAAGATCTGTCATCAAACGAATGTTTTGTACTCGAAATAAATCTTCATTTGTTTAAGCAGGTTTTACAGTTTTCCACTACCTGTCAAATAGATTTCAGTAACTTTCAATAAAGTTTAGAATCTTCGCGTGAGGAGTCGTTGTCACGGACGGATTATTTCAAAATGGCGCATCTATCAATTGCGTGTGAACTGCGCATTCAACTCTTGCGATACAAAGGTAGTATGCTTACATTGTAACTCTTCATGTCAGTAAAAACGATCCACGAGACCGTCGATTGATAAATGTTTCTCTTTTGAAATTTCTTCGGCCTGTATATTGTACCGACCACTTTCACTTGACATTTAACTTACCTTCGTTTAAAACATTGAGCAGCAATATAATACAGAGACAGACTCTGTTGTTCATTTGTATCGTATACATTTCTCTGCGTTGGGCTGTTCGCTGGAGTTTCGGCAAATTTCAAAGAAAAAGAGCTTATGTCACAGATAAGGTAGGTTCAAATTTGCATTCACTGGACCTTTGAAGGCATATTTGAATAATTTGGCTTTGGAATATGCAAGTTTTGCTCAAGAATAGAGTCATCGGACCCAGCAAGACACTTGAAACATGTATTGTGTTTGTTTGTTTGTTTTTTTTTTATAACGAAAACAATGGATATTAGGGAAGCGTGGAAAAAACAAAGCAAAAACGCATAATGACAGCAAACGGTGATATCTTTATGAATAACATCAGTAAAGGACTTTTAACGACATTTTTCTCTCTGCTGATTCGCAATAAAAGATCGATTGCTTTTGCAAAGAAAAAACGTGAAGTTGGATAACTCACAACAATTCAATATCAATGTCAATTTTCTTCATTTCACATATTAAATTACATTTCAAGTACAGGGGTTTGTATTAAATATTAGAGAAAGAGGAAAAAAATAAAGGTAATATTTGGCCAGAAAAATTAGGTTGAGATGCACACGGTGTCCAAGGTAGCGAGAGCTTTCTAGTTGGGTACCGTAGTGGTCATATAAATAGCAGAAATGCAGGGCGTACATTTAAGATTGGTGAGTACGGTTTCCCAGATCTTTGAACCAATAACTTTCGCCGCTTCTTAAAGTCAGTCATTACGAAATAATAGAAATTGCAGTTCCATGTTTGGATCAGTGCCTTTGTCTGAAATCATGATTCCAATTTTGTGATGTCAAAACATGTTTGATGCAGCGTACTGTTTCCTGATAAAGCATTGGAACCTCTTTGGTTCTTCCTATGTCATGGCAATAGCCACTGTAAAGCATGTTATTCACTGAAAATTAATAAAGTCTCAGTTTCTGACCAGATTTTAATTGCTCGTTTTGTCAATTCCAAACAGACCTAGATCAATATTTATCAGTTTTGACAGATATATTCTAGAGTTAAAAGATATCATTCTTTTAGCTCTTTTACATTATAATACAATCATTCAACCATCTTAGATTTCTAATAAAAGATGCGTTTCGAAAGCACTAGATGAATGGACCTGTTGTGAGGTGAAATATTTGTCATTGTTGTTATTATGATTTAAATTTTTTACGTCGGTTGCAATGTTTAGTTTACCTTGACAATAATCTTCTGACTTTGACCTTGCACATTCTTGCCATAAGCTCGATACAGGTGGGCACATTTAGCATAAGTAATAAACCAGATTTTGTGCCAACTTCTTCTTTCAACTTTCCTCTTAAAATTCTCGAGACTAGCGAAAAATGTTATTTTTGAGTTAATAGTTTAGCAGAAGTGCACGTGTGCACTGAGGAGATTAGGTTAAGCTGTTACATTCAACTCTGTGAATCATTTCAGTCCTGACTGACTTGTTTTCAGTTATAATTAAGAGGCTAGGTAGATTAGGGTCGGAGAATTAACTGTACTTCGCAGAAACAGCGCACCCGGAAGGAACGTGGATGGGTGAAGAATTCCATTCCTTTCGACAACCACCCCTTCGAAGCATCGTCTACCCAGTCGATTATACCAAAACCTAGGGCTCAGTGTAAAACCTCCCACAAAGAGTGGTTTCAACCATGATTATCAACCTTATTGCAAATTTCTCATTTCTTGGATGTTTCAAAGGACTTAGCCAGGATTTTTTACGGGAGTGGAAGGATGCATTAACAAATTTCTGCCGCCCTTACAAGGAAAATTGCTTAAATCGCCTCACCTCCTCATACATTAGAGGGCTTGTATCGAGGCGCCGAGAGGAACAACAATGGATTATATATCACTAATAAAAATATTCATGTTTTGTAGATTATCCGAATTTGGCAGCCCTAAATTGTAAGGTTCTTGCTGTTGATTTAAAAAACATTACGTTACAAAGGTAGTTGCATAGGTATCCCAATGGTCAACATTTAAATCAAGAAATGTTTCATAATATTGTTACTGATCTATGCATTTAAACCTCCATTAAATTTTCCGTTAGATACATTTTTGTGATGATTCCAGTGTCATCATCGATGCCAATGCTATGGTTACACGTACAGAGCACTAATTTAAGTTCAGGAAAATTTCTGAGACAAGATGCTCAATTTCGCATAGTAGTTTCGATACAGATTGCACTCACACAGAGCAGGTTCATGCCATATGTACTAAATATTCTAATGCGTGGAAGTGTTAACAGTTAACTCTCCAGTTGTTGAAATGCTACGCTAAATCGCATATGTTACAGTGGTATGGAAACAGAGAATAGTTCCAGTGCGCAGTTGATACCAATATCATCATGTAATTCAGTCCATGAAAATGTTTACATCGAGACCACTCATCTCCGATGTAAAGCTTCATCGTAGGGATTACCGTGCCGTGCTGACGCCTTAATTTAGGATGATCAACTGCTTTGTTGATCGAGCCAGAAGGACAACATCTAGCCTGCCACATCTTGAATAATCTCGTTGACAATACAAGCATCCAGGTAGGTTGACGTCGTGTACATATTTGGCGGACTTGTTCGATTCTCACGCATCGCTACCTCGTAGGAAGGTAAGAAGGGGAATCTATTTATAGATAGTGATTCAGAGTCCAGTTCATCTGACCGAGATCTGAAAGGAAATAATAAAATCAGTTTTTAATCCGTAAAAAAAAAACACCAACATATGAGCAAACGACCGCAAGTGGTATATACAAAACACTCGATTTACACCAATATGGTCTTAATTCCATAAGAAATGACTGATTTTCAAGGGAAACACGAATTATAGGGAAGGCGGGTAAGCAACATTGAACGATTGAGCTGAATTTTGAGTTAATCATACCAATTCTTAGCGTTTGTACCGATGCAAAGATTAATTAAAAGCCAGTACAAGCCAGTTGGAAGATGGCTTCAGATACACGAAAAGGCAGTTTTGGAAAAGGTACATATTAAGGATGGGTCTTACAATAAGATTGGTGTGGAAATTGGCATGTTTCGGGTCATTTTGGGGTAAATTTTGGTTAGGACTAAGGGTAGCGGTCGTCATACTCTAATCGCTGGAAATCAACACATCGTTTCCCCTCTCTCTCCTCCCCCGTCACCTCTTCCCCACCCCCAGCCCCAAGGAATTCAAACAGCGTAAAGCCTGTAACAGGCCCTCTGTATTTGGAAGCGACCGAAAAAGCGAGCGCGTGAAAAATGACAAGCTCCTTAAATCGCTTTCATTGACTGAGTGTCTAGAGAATGCGAAGAACTTGAAACTCTGGGAAATCAGCGAACTCACCTCATTTCTATTTCAGACCCTAACCCAATCTAACAAAATTGACCACCGACTAGGTGAAGGAGACTTACCTATTTGCTCTCTCCCAAACTTTACAGCATACAGCGAATACTAAGATAGTATACTGAATAGCAAGGATTGCTCCCATTACGATTACCACTGTGATAGCAGCTAAAAAGAGAATTACAAGAGAACATACAAAGGTTAACCAGAGAAATAGAGACATGCAAAGTGACGGTAAGTGCTGCTTAAAAGTGAAATGTCCTCAAGTTGCACCATATCAACACAGAATACTTACGTTTTTTCATAGTGCAAAAGCTATTTAATGTAACTAATGTTGCTTCGGAATAAAATTTTGAACTTCCTAGACACCAATCATTTATCTTTGCCGTCTGTCTTCTATACTCGAAAAATATGGAAACCTGCATGTAAACCATCCTTTGATAGCTTCTCGTGCTCTATAAAAGTAACATGCCCCTTAGCCCCGCCAATTCCTAAAACAACGAGAGTTATCAGTCCTGGATTATAAGGTGCTTTATAAAATATTTTACTATTATATCTTCTTATTTGGTAATATCAAAATTTATTTGGAGAATTCTTTAGGCGGTTAATTAAAATGTCTCATGACCAATTAAGCGGCATTCGACAGAGTCTGGCAGCAAACTTTACCTCGTTTCCGGTATGTCGAACCATTGTTAGCCAAATTAGAAGGTTAAAATGAAAAAAGTAAATCAGATATCTAAAGAACTTACATAAAACTTACATGCATCATAGCTGTCACCCTCGGTATTATCCAAACTACCAACATGACTCTATCATAAACAAAGAAATGCGGTCATTATCTTTTTGCATCATTATGATTTCTTATAATTGCGTAAAAAATCTTTTAGCTCTAATGGAGTTGTGTGGCTACTATTAAGCTTCTCTTTTCTCCATTTATTTTTCTTTCCCTCTTTATTCATTAATTGAACAATAAATCTAATGATCAGTTTGTGTACAGAATTGACAGGCAGCTCACTTAGTCTTGCTTTGGAGCTACATTTGATATGAAAACTTGATCCAGGGTGAAATTTCCCTAGAGAACATTTTTTTTTTTTTGTCCGGCTATTCAAACGAGGGTTAGCCTTTGTCAAGCAAAACCACGTTTAGTCTTTGTTTTAAACAAAAAAATTATTTTTGTGATCAGAGCCAAGATGGCCTGTAGCTACCTCTTGTAAAACACTTATTCACAGAAACAGCCCACTGATTGCCTATAGCCATGCTTAGAGTTAGACTTTATCTCAATAACCGGTTCATTGTGAGAAATTGCAGCCCATTGCAGTTGGTTCTTAAAATCGTCTTTACAGCGCCGGTCTTTTCTCATTTGGAGGTACAAAGGTGAATTGGAAGTCGAGTAATATGAATTCTTCTATTCCCGCACACGTTTCTAACATTAAAAAACACCCCTTCAATAGACCAATAGAAGGAGAATTAGTCGAAATGTTTCATGAAGGTTTTCTAGGAAAAAAGAGATGTTATGATTGCTTTTGATTTATCTTGAAAAAGCATACTGTCATCGTATAAGACTTGATTTACATGGCAAAATCGGGTTCTCCACATATGCTTATCATATAGGGCCACGCTCAACCAGTGAGCTTTGCGCGCCGTTTTTTATTGTTATCATCCAGGAACTCAATACTGAGTCTCACACGTAGAGCTGTCAGGTACACGTGTCGGATACATGAGCGAATTTTAGATCAATGATGGAAGAAGAAATCAGTTCCGATTCGATCAATGCAACTAACGAAAAATCAGCATGGTTTTGGTCGTGAAGGTCCAGTAAATAATAATTTTGGATCTCATTTAACTGCGAGAGAAGAAACCTCTCGATTACCAAGAAGAGTGGTAGTTTGGGTTCAAGTCTCTTTTTCGAGTCACAATTTTGTAACCTTCGAGGGCAAATGACTCGAAGAAACTAAGCTTGTCTTTCACTATTTAACCCAGACTTGCCAACGCAAAAGCCCCTGTCGCCGAAAGTCTGAGAGAAGTCGCTTAGTGTGGATTTAGATGCTTGGCGACTTGCGTTTGCGGCAGTGCAGGGAAGTCTTGCCGCAACAGAAAAGAAGCTTTACCCGTTACAAATCAACAACGTGCAGACAGTGCGGGCAAACTGCCATCCGTCATTCTATTTTTGTGTCTAAAATGCATCATTCGACTTTCCTGTGAAAAAGATCAAAGACTGAGATCGCTAAGAACCTCTAAGAACTCCCGAAGGCATAAAAATTTATTTATTAACCTGAAAGGGCTGAAAATTAACTTTAATTCCGGAGAATACTTCAGAGAGTTGTTCGTCAATCTAGGAGGGCACAGTCCAATTGAAAAGTCTTCGCTGCACGACATGGCCTCGACACGCCAAGCACGAATAATCGAACTTTGGTTTTTTGAGCACTAGCTAAATCACTCTTCATAAATGTGGACACACCACATGTACAAGCACACCAAATAATGTATATTCATTTCTCGA